CGTTCGTTTTATGATATACGGGGAATATTCCATGAATATCTAGTGCTGTGTGGGATCATGAAACCCTGTACCGTGCATTCTCTCACACACACACACACACACACAAAATCTCATATGAAAAAAAAATCTGAACGATCCATGCACCAGACACTTCAAGGTCACATCACCTTGACTTCACTAAACAACAAAAAAAATCAATTAATACGTCATAGTGGTGGGGGGAGGCTTAGAACCTGCTCAAATCTCCTACTCCGGTCGGTTACAGTGAAGAAATAGTAATTCAGGGGTCTGTGTGAACTAGACAAAATCGGTATCCAGCTGCAAGGATATTTCTCTATCCCAAGAAAATTAACAAACAAATCGGTTTCAACGCTTTATTACCAAATCAACTCTATTACGGTTATTTATTGATTGTAGGGACGATAGGAGTGTGCTGACAGTAGGCAGGAAACGCAATCAACCACGATTGATGAAGCACGCGGGTATTAAAAGCTCTGTGTAATTCACCTTGAAAATAATGCCCGTGTCTCACATATTCGAGCTAGATTCTTTGATCCCGTATAAATATACGAATTACGGATGACACTTCGGATTTCGCACGCGCGACCTCGAAAACGCGAAAACCACCAAGGTGCGGAAACGCGGAGAGAAGATTCGAACAGATGATCCATGTGGGGAATACCACATAGGATCGTAAAACATTTGAGGAGTCACGTGAAGACCCTAGTAAACAGGATTGTCAAAAATTATCCAAGAGGTTTCTTCATTCGCAGAAAGGAACTAATGAACGTATCAAATTCCTAGCATTCTGCTCCTGAATATTTTTCAGCATTAACGGTATTTTTATACCAATAAATAACCGATATACAATTATTCTGATTGAAATGCGAGACTTGTAATAGAAAAAGTGAGGAATTACTCATAGGCAAATGAGTTAATTACGCAAAAAAAATCGTTTTAGTGTCCCTTTGTTTATAATATTTCGCTAGTTTTTTCATATGCACATCACTCATGGATCCGTTTCGATTAACCTGAGTTCGGTTATCCAAGGTTTCTCTGTTTTTTGCTATTTTTCAAGTATTTGCTGTCAGATTGACTACTTAATTTTTAGGTTTCCAATAGCTTCTCGTGAACAAAGTTCAGTTCTGCATGTAGTCTAGTATAACACGTAAAATCTGTTACAATTGATCATAGATTTTCATATAAAATTACTCCAAATTCTTTCACTTATAGCAACAGACTCTTCGAATATGCTTGAAAAAAGCTACACTTGCTGTCGAGTGTGTGAACCGTGAAATATAATGTAAAAATCTACTAAAACTGATATTTGTCTTCTATTGGGTTGGCAATCGTACAACACTAAATAACTCCTTTCTTGTCCAGTGAAATACGGTCTACTGACTATATTCAGTGAAGATTAAGTAGTGGCCAGGTTTTATATTTCATTTTTGGTACCACTAAATTTGTGTAAATTCTTTTCAACTCCATCATTTCCCAGTAGGTGGCGGTGGCGCCACATCAAAATCAGCCTTAAGCCTACCAAAGTTTAGCCCTGCACTTAGCGATTCATGCCCATATCCCCTGGCCGTATTAAGTCTGGCCTAGACCTTAAGCTCGATCAATTCGATAATGCACCATAACAATAACAAGACTTTAGCCCGCTCAAAGTGAAGCCTTCTACTTAGAACATTTAAACTGAGCTTTGTATCTAACCTAGCTTTCTGTCTGCGGTTGAGATTGAGAAGCACGACTATAACTTTCAATTGTGCCTACAATTAACATATCTATCTACAAAACTCAACATTCCGTCCTTGTGCTGATTTCACTACCTAACAAAGAAGTTCCAATTTTACTTTTTACGGCTGGACAATTGTGACAACTTTCTTAGAGTGAAAATTAGCTAACATCATTTACAGTAATTTTATTTGGGATTTGTGTTTTTTTCATGATGAGGACACTCTCTGCTTTCATTCGCCGACATTGACTATCCAAAATATGGAATATCTTGCCTGTATCTGAGATTCCTTTTACTTGAACACAAAAAATGCATATTTGTTCCTACATGATTTGCACAATTTTGACCAGTTATTTATGATTTTGACCAATTATTTATGATTTTGACCAGTTATTTATGATTCTCATAAAACATGCTTCTCTCTGTTTATTGTTCTTGGTGAGAATAATTCACTTGAAGAATTTCATCAAATTTCAGACGTAGTCACATGTATTTTGGGCTTTAGAAAACTTGGCTCAAGTAATTACGGTGAATAACATCAACCTTCAAACTGAGAATTTTCAGCCGAGCTTTGTGAAGCTGTCGAATATAATTTAATGTCTAGCGTGGTATTAGGGGAAGTAGTTGTTTTCCTGCAGGCATTTTCCAAAACCTACGGGGTAAGTAGTTGGGAGAGATAAATATTTCGAGATTTCAATTCGTAATATTTATTTTCTAGTAAATGGAATCTAAATTATTCACTCACTGGACACTGGTGATTAATCGAGTTCTTGAATTCAACAGATTTTTTCAGCCAATAAAAACTCGCCATCGTTTTGGATGGACCAATAGATGAATCCATTGATCAATAGGTAGACTTGATAACCTAAAAATATTGGTGGATTCTGAAAGATCCATCAGAGAGAAAACATATGAAAAGTTTTCTTTCATTCTGGGTCAATATATAGAGCAACCACATTTGATAGATTCCCACATAAATGAGTTATTAGAAAAATTTATTGCCATTGTAAGGAACAGTGATAACAGTATTGTGCTGAAACATCTAGCTTTCAAATTCATGTTTGTTGTTGTTAATGTTAGAGGATATAAAGTAGTGGTGAGGCATTTACCTCATGAGGTAAGATTATAAACTATTGTTTATATTTGATAAAAGTGAAGGTCTTTTAGGTAGCAGATCTGGAACCTGTTTTACAATTATTGGAAAGGCAAGATCCTACAGATCCAGATACATGGACAACAAGATACATTTTACTGTTATGGCTATCTATTATTGTGATAATTCCATTTCATATGTCCCGGTTTGACGGATTTGACCAAAAAGATGCCAAAAAAGAGACTGTTATGGATCGTATTTTGACAGTTATCAAGAGATATGCTGTAGTTTCCGATAAATGTAGAGATGCCGCAGCCTATTTGTCTCATAAGTTTATCACAAGGTGAATGGGTAAATCTAATTTGAATTTAGGAGTTATTCTGTAACCTTAACTTGAACAACAGTAAACCTTGATTTATAGAATGAGTAACGCAATTAAAGACATCATAAGGCAAGCAATAACGCAAGAGGACATTTGTTTTTGTCATAGATTGTAAACCATAACATTTAACTAAAACTAAACTAAAAAACTTTCAAGATTGTTTTAGTCCCACACATGATGATAATAATATGTGAATTGTTGAAATACAGCAAATGTTTATTGAAAAAGTGTTCTAACAAAAAAATAAACTAACCATAAAATCTGACATAGAATTCGTAAAAAAGTAAATGTCAATTGTTGAAAATAAGAATTCCGTGGTCTGATTGTTGCCCATGAAAATAATTTCTGCAAGAGATGACACAACTATCTCTTACGTTATAGATATGTTGTTGCATTTACAGAGTAGTATTTATAAATAAATACTTGAAGTTCTGTTGTGTCAAATAAATGGGGTCGAGTGATATATCATTTGAAAGGGCACAAAATTCTCTTTCCAATGATACCTAATTTGTTGTATTTGAAGATGATCCTGATAGAAGGCTGCAATTTTGTGAACAACTGAGCCAGCTACTAACTGATGATCCGCACCTATCATTCAACACATGCCTTTCCGATGAGAGTACATTTTTTTTGAATGGAGCTGTCAATAGGCATAATTGCCGTTTTGCCGTTACTGGGATAACAGTAACCCACACTTATTCCGAGAGGTCCATACCCAGTACCCTCAAAAAAATCAATGTCTGGTGTGGCATATTAGGTAGTCATATCGTAGGGCCACTTTTTATTCCTGGGAATTTAACTAGTGAGGTCTACCTGAACATGCTTGAAGATACAATTGATTCTCTCATAACAGAAATAATTGAAAATGACCAAAATCATAATGATGATCGGCTTCATTTCCAGCAAGATGGTGCACCTCCTCACATGTTGCTCCGGTAAGAGAGTTTTTAGTTGACCGGTTTCCTGGACGGTGGATTGGAAGGAGAGGCCCCATCGAATGGCCTGCCTACAAAAGTAGGCACTAGTTGACTCCTCTGAACTTATCAAAGGGTGTAAATATTTATTTTGTTAGCAATTTGTGCAACAAGCACACCTTTTTTATGCACGAGTCACGCCTTAGTGGCATCAACTTCCATAAGGCTTCATGGGAGCATCAGCATCCTTTCCGTGGGAGTATCTTTCTCATAATATGAAATATAAACCTTGCATATTGAATTCATTAGTTTGTCAAATTTTTGTGGAGTTTTGGTGACACACTCCCCAGTTCAGCTAAAAATCATTTTAATTTACTTTTCTCTCAAGTCACTACATAGAAACATATAATAAAACTGAAATTTACGAATTAGAGTATTGACATTACAGCTGGTACAGAGTAAATGTGAATGATATTCGTTTCAGTTCCATAATTATTGTTTGGAGTACAAACTAAATGGTTAAAAGTTATTTTCGAGTAGAAAACATCTTTAAATCTCTTTGAAATCCATTTTTATTTCTTAAATCCTAGTTTCCAATCTTCAAATCTGCTGTTTGAGACACTGGGTGATCCCAGTCTTCAAAGTTTTGAATCTTGAATCTTTCACTTTGAGTATTGAAATCATGTTTCATATATAATCTAAATATGCTAAATATATAGTCCACGGACATGCATTATGTATGTCAATTCACGGTATGAAAATAGTAAACAAGTATGTGTTATGTACAATTGCATGAAACACAATAATTCTGAAATATAACAAAAGTAGACCTATAGGAGAGTATACATATGGATTGTGTACAACTAAGAATCCGATAAGTGAAATATTTCAATGAAATACAAGTAACACAATGAAATGACAACATATGAATAACACTACAGAAAATCTACACATTAGGATACATATTCCATATTCCTAGAGACATTATTGTGTCTTGTTCAATTGATGACCTATTCATTCTGTAAAAATTCATATTGAATATAGGATAAAGAAAATAACTTTTGTCTGATTTCCACTGAGTTTTTTATTTGTTGCGACTGGTTTCAGTTTGTTAAGCCATTCACAAATAAACTCACTTGAGAATGGTTAATGATATTTAGCATATAGTATATGAAACATGATTTCAATACTCAGAGTGAAAGATTCAAAAATTTAAAGACTGGGTTCATCCAGTCTGCCGAACAGCAGATTTGAATATTGGAAACAAGTTATTTTCTTTATCCTATATTCAATTTTATTATGTATTTAGTTGAATGTTTTTTCCAATATTGTTTTATTTTATTAAGACTTCATTTTGTGAGGAAGCAAGTTTAAATAGGAACATCCCATTTACTTTCAGTTTTTTTGAAAAACATGTGATTGACCCTGTTCAGTAACAAGTTATCAGACTTTTTTGTGATATATTTGGAAATGTCTTGAACTTTTCTAAACTCATTAATGTTTATTTTGACATAAGTGTTAAAATTTTCATGAGATATATGCTAGCTAAAGTGAGGATGTTATTCAGTATTAATGTATCTTGACAATATTTGTTATAGAAAAGACAAAATATTACACAAAATATCATGTTTTTAACTATAAAAGGTCTTCTGTCTGTGTCCTACTTCCCCATGAAATAAAGGTATAATTCAAAGTGGAATGTACCAAAGTATCTTATAAATTTTGATACATAAAATAAAGATTTCTTCTTCAGAGTCCTCTTCAACTGTTTGATGGCAAAGCAATGGCTACTGGATTTACTGCATACAAAGTATATGCGGATATATAAATATGTAATTCATCGAAAATGGTTTAAAACATTTGAGTTGATGAATTCATAAAAGTAGAATAAGTGAATTTAATAGCTTGAACATTTTGAACAATATCTTGGAGGGCTGAGAAAGATGGAGAAGTCGATCTGACTTTGAGTTTCTGCATGCGGATTGTAGTTTTTCATTTCACGATAATATCAGGGTAAGCCACTTCATTGCAAAGAAACAATCAGGAAGAGCTTTTTTTTTATTATAATTCGTCGTATTGGATGCAAAAAATGAGTACCTAAATAATAAATTTCATATTTTTACCCATCCAGCAAGTAAAGGGTTTTTTCTTGTCAGGTTGAAAAAATGGGCATGGTCTGTCATGTGGATTGTGGTTCACAGATTACTTTGTAACCTTTTAAATTCATCTGATTGAGATCTATTTTGAAAATAATGTCACAAAAAATAGATATCTTTTCGGAAACTCGATCGGTTCAAAATAAAAAGAGGTAAGGTGAAAATTCACTATTTGAGTAAACTATTGATGTAACAATTTAAAAAAAAATGTTTTAAAATGTTTTTCCGTTAACCAGCTATCGCACCCCTACGAACGACAACCCTCAGAAGTCGAAAATTGTGCGAGCTAAGGACTAACGAGGTTTTACCATTTAACGTGTGATTCCTAAAACAGGATGCACGATGTAGCAGCAGTATTGTGATAAACTGCAATGCATAATACCATTAGTAGAAGAAAATTAATCACTGTAACGGGCTTGAGTCTTGCAAGTATCCATCAAAAAAAAAAAAGTATGAATTCCATCCACCCAAAATTCAGTCACACAAGAACCAAGGCAAGAGTTAAATGAATACTATTTGAGTGAATGAACGATGAGAAATAGTAATTTACTATTCAATGTGTGTTTTTTGGACGAGAATACTTTATTCAAACAGAGCCATTGATCGCCACAATTGTCGGTACTGTTGAACGTGTGGGCTGGTATACAGGTGAGCTGTATTTTTGTATTGGAGTGGATGAGGAATCATTAATACAATATGTCCATATAGAATAAATCTGCACTAACGATAGTTATAGAAAAAGTGTTAAAAACCATGAGAGTTTCAATTCTAAATTTTCATGGAAATTTTTGCATGAGGGCATTTCTACATTCAAAAAACATTGAAATAAAATAGCTCCCTAATCGAATCTTCAAATTGGGGAGAATTCAAGGACAACTTTGGAATTCACGTCTTCATCAATCCCATTGATGGCGTCTTAGTAAGGGGAAATGTCATCGCTTCCTCTTAATCGAGCTTCCCTTTAAGTACAGGTGACTCCTTAAAGGCGGGTCGTAATAATGCTGTCTGATATTGAATTACAAATGCATTGTTTATGGACCTTAGTTTCAATTAGATGCCTTCCACTTAAAGCGACAGTATTTAACTCTAACATATTTGATAGAATTCTTTTATGATACTGAAACATTTAGAATTTCTTATTTTTGTCGCTTTTACATTGGTATTTATATTTTAATTTTTATTCCTTATTATGAAATTATATCTGCCTTACCTATATCTCTACATTTGTTGACTAATTCTATAAATTTTGTATTACCTTTGTATAAAGCTTCAATGATGAATCAATATATCAATCTATTTGCGAATTGTGGCCTACCCATAATATAGAGATTACACACAACGGGGGATTAGGTTTCTGTCACCCAATGAAAAATTATTGAAGTAGGGTTTTGAAATTATATTTTTTAATAAATGATTATTTGTTTCTGTCAAGGTTTAACCTTTTTACCACCAAGGATAGCTTCTTGGAGATATAAAAGAGGACAGAGGTCTCTGGCTGTAAATTTAAGCTCAGGAGATGGTTCAGTTGCAAAAACTTCAGATGAGGGAGAAGATCAACAGGAAAATGAAGAAGATATTGAAGTTCCAGATGAAATGGAAGAGATTATTGATCAGCTGATTCATGGATTGAGGAGCTCAGATGGAGTTGTTAGGTGAGATTTTATCACTTATTTCTGATATCTCAATTCAATATGGGAATTCAATTATCTATTTATCTAGCTAACCAGAGTTTGGACAATTTTAATATCATATTGATACAGTTTGAAGTGATTTTCGCTAATTGTGAAGTGTTTTGAACATTAACTGCTGTTTACTGCTATAATCTGCTTTCAGGTGGTCAGCAGCAAAAGGTATTGGTAGAGTGTCAGGAAGATTACCTAAAGAATTGGCAGATGATGTTGTGGGATCGGTACTAGAGGAATTCAATTCACGAGATTCTGATGGATGGCATGGAGGTTGCCTTGCTCTTGCTGAGTTGGGTTAGTGGAATCTGATTTGATTTCTTATTTTTGATACATTTTACCGTTTTTTTTTTTTATTTTTAGGTCGAAGAGGCTTACTTCTTCCTGAACGTTTGCCAGAAGTCGTTCCAGTGGTACTGAAAGCTTTAGTGTTTGATGAACCTCGAGGAAGTTCCTCAGTAGGATCTCACATCAGAGATGCTGCTTGTTATGATTGCTGGTCATTCTCTAGAGCTTACGAAAGCCATGTGTTGCAACCTTATGTGAATGAAATTGCCAGTACTCTATTGGTTGTTGCCTGCTTTGATAAGGAGGTAAAATAGTTTACTTTTGGTAGTTATTATTTGAATTGAAATAGCTGGAGATGATAAAATATTTTGATTGAAAGAGATTCATAGAATCATTTTAAATATAGACTTTTTTTGTCTAGATAAATTGTAGGAGAGCAGCATCAGCTGCATTCCAAGAAAATGTAGGTCGTCAAGGTACTTGTCCCCATGGAATAGAAATTCAGATGAAAGCCGACTTTTCATCTGTGAGTGTTAGAACTCATGCTTACCTCAATATTAGTACCTTCATAGCACAATTTGAAGAATACACAGAGTCCTTGATCAGCCACTTACTCACAAGAAAAGTTGACCATTGGGATTCCAATATAAGAGAGCTTACAGCCAAGGCCTTACATAATTTGACACCAAAAGTAAGTTTGTGAAAAATGTATAAATAATATTTTTTTACAAAAATCAAAGTCAGAGATATTGTAGTGGTTATAGACCATAGAACTGAATTCCTTCGACTACAAGATCGTTAGTCCAAAAGTAACCTATTTTCCAAATATCTGCCAAAATATCGATAATATGATAAAATGAGTTACACCCAACCCTTGTCTCTACATTGTTCTCGTGCTAAACTTTGATATTGCCAGACTTTCAAAAACATTATGAAGTCTAGTTCATGTGAGTTTTAATAATTTGCAGTACCAACTAATTCTCCATTCTATGATTTGATTATATTTTGGTCACACCATATGCCCTTTGAAGCAAGTTTTAATACCTTGATTAGTTCGACAAACATTCTCTTGTTGCAATACTCACCACCTCTACCTTGTACAGCAAATAAAGAAAAATAATTAAGGTCTGATTAACATTGGAAATAAAAATTCTTGCCAGAACAACACTACAGAACTTCTAGGCATTTATTATTGGTCTCAAATCTGTTCTAAAACTCCACATACTCCTTTAGTAGTTCTAGAATTTTAAGTATATTTTGACATTATTGTAAGCTTAGGATAAGATTCAGCCAGATAACTTTTAGTTTAGTGAGTAATTGTATTATTTTCAGCTTCCTGAATACATGATCAATAAAGCTCTACCAGCATTATTTGACAGAACAAATTCCATTGATCTGAATAGTCGACATGGAGCTGTATTAGCAATAGGAGAAATTTTCCATTCGCTCTCTAAAACTGCGAAAGAAAGTTGTATGAAACTTGAGTCTCTTCTGAAAGAGGATCTATTAGACAAAACCAAAAAATTGATTCTAACATTTAGAGAGAAAATGTATTTCAGAGGATTAGGAGGAGAATTAATGAGAAGAGCATGTTGTGATTTCATAGAAAAATGTTCTTTGGCATCCATGCCTTTTCACAATGAAACTATAATTCGTAAGTTTACAGTAATTTATATATTCTAAACTCATATTCGATATTGAATATAATTTAAAAAAATTGTAACAAGTTAATGTCATTCTTACCATTGTTTGAATATTTTTAATAAATTCTTCTTATTTCTTATTTCTGAAACTAGCTTGGATACATCATTCGTTTATATTTATTGATCTTGAAAATATAATTCGAAGTCATTAATGAAACATTTGAATAACTAATGTTCTCTCACATCTCTAACACTGTGAGATGCAATTTTCAATGCTTCATAAGGATCAGAATATGACACATATGATTACTGTCTTTGTAATCACATTGTTTCTTTGCTATTCAAAGTAACCTTGCACTGCGGAAGATAACTGTCGAAGCCATTTTGCGGATTTGTTGGCTGTGATCTGCCGATTTTTATATACTTGAAGTTTCTTCTGTATAAGTCGTTGTTTGTTATAGGTAAGATTAATATCACAACTTACATAATTATGATCATTTATTGCACATCTCTTCGAACCCATTTGAGACAACCATGACCAGTCCCAAAGAACGTTACTAATAATGTGTCTATTGATTGTATGCTGTTAACTTTACAATAGGCAGTATGTACTGCTGGTTGCCTAAAGATCAGTAGTGAAACAATTATAATTTCACACAATATTCGACATCTTCCAAAATTGCTACTGTCATAAGGTGATGAGGCATTGGGTGCAGTACTTGGTTGAGTTGATTAGCGCCTTATTTTTATGTTGCTCAGTGTTGGTAGTCATACTTTATTTAAGATAATTCTCCTATCAGCTGAAATTATGTGTGTTTTTAAAATTTCTATTGCCTGCCTATATTTTTTTGGCTAGTAGCTCATGGTACTTACTGTTGACCACGCAGATGCAATAATACCAATGCCTTTTCTGAGGATATGTTCAGCTATTACTGATTTGTCACTAAGTCTAGGGCAACAATTTTTTTTAATTCAAATAGCAGGGTTCTAACACAACTGCAACGGATTCAGTACACCCCACATGTTGCTAAAGGCTTTCTAGAACTCTCAGAGCTGACCTTAGACTCTCTTTGGCGGTTTTCATTGTCCAAAATATCAATTTTAAGTTGTTGTGCGGTAACATTTTCTGAATGAAGAAAACTTTTCCATTGTTGTTATTTTAGTATTATCTTTCTTGGGCCGTATTGCGCGCTTCATTCTGGCTTCACTGTACTATTTTCCTTTGAAATATTGAGTTCTTCGAGAAGAAACTGTGGTCTCAACTAAAGTTTTCATTATGCTCCTTTTTTGTCATTGCTGGTTGTTGGAATATGCATTTAGATATTTATCTTCTGTATTTATTGGTTTCTTATTAACTATGTGCAATATCTGAAATCCACGTCTGTTCACAAGTGAATCCAAAAAGGCGTGTGCCTGAATCTGAAGCGGATTCTTATACCTGAAATATAGTGGAAAATAGACAAAAGTGTGTTTTTGTAGTGTATCCTCAGTGAACATGAATTTCCACAAAATAAACAAGTCGTCAATCGAAGAAGACTTATACTTAACCTTATCTAGTACTCTGACAGTCCTTTGATGCAAGTAAGTGGTAGCAATGGTTGTGACGACTTCTTTTCCTTGTGCTCTTGTCGTCTTCTGGTTGAAGTCTTTTCCACCAGTTTTATGCACTATATCCATTCTGTTGAAAATCCTTCATGATGTGGCCCTCGTCTAGGTTTTTTGGGTTTTCAGAGATTGAATTCAAGATAATGTTGTGACGTGCTCAACTCAACGTGCGCTCGCGGCCGTTCTAGAAATGGTGTTGCTTCGGGAATAATGCTACCTGCTTCGATTGAATTCTGGCGAATTTTCTACCGCCTTCGTTTGCCATACATAAACGCTACCAACGAGCATATCGAGGTACGGTGAAGTTTTGCGGACAGTGCAGTACACAGCGATCTAACAAAGCAATAGACATTTGAATGATAGTTGAAGTTTTAGTTAAAGTGTTTGGTTGTATAAACAGTGAAATAAGATTAATTTTGATTATTATACAATGTAGTCAGTTATTGGTAAACCCACGGGAAAATTAGGTTCTTAATTGTTTCTCTTTTCTATAATTCAGGTTCCATGTGAGTTCCTTATCTGTAAAGGGATGTTTCCCATTCATTGTTGGTTCTCTTTATTTGCGCCTAGAGAAAGTGGACTTTCATATTCCTTTTCTGCTTTGTTAATTCTATAGAAGGTTTTATTTAAGCTGGGAAAAAGTGGAAATATATCTCAACCAAACTCGGAACTTTTTGAAAGCTTCTTCAGTGGCTTCTTCTTCTGATTGAGTTATCTTGACGATACCTTGACAGTATAATACCAAATCTGGACCTTTTTCTCAACAAACAGCTTTCTAGAGTGGAAACTGACTTAAAACTCTCATTCCAATTATTAAATTCTCTTATTAAATGCCCTGCATTGCTAACACAAATTGGCTTACATATTCCTTGTAGAAGTACAAGGAATACAGAAACATTTGCAATAGATTTTCATTGTTGTAATTACGGCAAACATTCTCCCCTGTCTAGAGTTGCTATTGGTGGTAATAAAGTCGATCTGGACTTCTTTTCATTGAACAAAACAGAGTTTGCAGTACGCTCGCTCAGAAATAAATTATAAATGGTAATAAATATAAACATAAACATCCTCAATAATTGAATTTTCCATATCTTAATTAATATTAACATATCTTAATTAATATTTCAATTCAGTAAATTTATTTTCTCACTGTTATTCTTTATTAATGAATTAGTTTTACTTTTAGCAAGTAAGTTAGGTGTAATTATTTGTTGTATTCATATAATTTATTGTGAAATCTCTTAAACTTAATTGGGTGTTACCCGTTAATGAATAAATAAATAAATAAATATAAAATTCATAATGAAGGCAAATGGAAACATCTGTCTACAGGAAGCCAACTCAGATGGAACAGTACTTGAATTACTAATCCATTCACCCTCACTTTACAAAGAAAAGGATCATTGAGTCTCTAATCAATTTTGCATAAATTGTCGATGGCATCATGAAATACTTTCTACAGAATGGAATACTTCAATAGCTGGAAGATCATACATTAGTCGAAGATGATAAGAGACCTACAAGGAAGAGAAACTGTTACAGCCGATATTTCTTTACGTTAAGGACTATTGAAGAGGATAAGAAAAATTGGATCTATGTACAACTAGAACCTGCTGTAGATCCAGGATACTATCTGTATCAAATTCACGAAAGCCATACTACTTACATATTGAATAAGGACACATTCAACCAGGTCAATAATGGCAGCTGTAACATGTGGACACCATTAATCAAGGGAAAAACAAGCTATAGGGCACTGAATTGAAAAACTGAGCAACAGATTTTCAAGTCTGACTTACTTATGTTAAACATTAATATCTTGACAACTGATAAAATCAAATACCTTTTGAGTGATATAAGTGATTTGGAAACATTAAAATTTTTATGCTTAGTTGAAACTGGGCTCAAAGAAATCTCAATGAACTCAATCCATTTTACTAACTGTGATTTGATTTATTTCTACTGTAGAACAACAAAACAATGTGGGGGTGTTGGCATATGGGCAAGAAAAGACAGAACAATATTCCTAAAATTAGTCATCTTAAGCGTAACAACGATTTCAATAAGGTGAGCATGTTCTTGCAATCGTTTTCCGAAAGAGAACTTCTTTTACTTTTAAAGAGAAAAATAAAAATTCTGCTGGATCAGATGAGATCCCAGGATTTATTTTGAGGGATGACCTCGAGGATATTATTGCTCCCCTAACTCATTTGGTGAATTTATCTTCTCAAACAGGTTCATTTCCAAATGCTATTAAAATTGGAAAAGTCATACCGATTCACAAGAAAAATGATTCCAAATTATTAGAAAATTACTGACCGATATGTTATTTGAATATGCCTTTGTCGACCGTCTTTGGAGTTTCATTGAGAAGCATAAGATTTTATCTGATAAACAGCAGCCGAGAGTTTGACTGTGTAAACCACGGAAAACTATGAGAATTGTTAGAACTATATGGTTTTAGGGGTCTCCCACTAAAAAGGATTGAATCATTTCTGGTGGACAGGAAACAATATGTATCTATATGAATAAACTCTAATAATACAAAATATAATAGAAAATCTGAATGTCTGGACGTTGATATGGGTATCCCACAAAGTTCCATCTTGGGACCCGTGTTGTTTATTTTGTACATTAATCAGATTAATTGCATTTTAAAAAGTTGTCATCACTCTGCCTATGCAGATGATTTATCTTTGGTATTGTCTTTACCTGACACTAATTTACTAAATGCTAATTGTAGTGATGTGATATATCAAATGTTTTCTATGAACGTTCTTTATTTCTCAATACGAAAAAAACAGTGTCTCTGGGAAAATTCCACCTCAGCTTTAGTGAATTCTGAATAAAGCCCTTGATTGAAACCTTTCATGTTGTAAAATTAGGAATGAAAACAGATTATATAGTACCAACAGAAGTGGAATATTGTCTACATATTGGGAACATCTCGAGTACCATATGCTTGGTCTATTTCTTCGCCCCTGTATTCAAAGTTAAAATTTAAATTTCAGAATAAATTTCAGTGAGAAATAAATTCATTATAATTGAGACATATTTCGACGAATCCAATCTAAAATCTCCAATAATGTGTATACATTTTTTCTTTTTGTTTATGTTTCAGAAGATTGGCACAATCTCCTCAATGAATGCTTATCCTGCGACGTCCTCAGTATACGTACAGTTGCATTGATTGCATTACCTGCTCTGCTTGAGGAATATTATTGTGATAAACCAGAAGAATATGATAAAGTTGTAAAGTTTTATGTCAAGGAACTGTTGTGTGCCAGTAATGAACACAGTAGAATGGGATACAGTTTGGCTTTAGGAGCACTTCCAAAACTCATCTTGAAACCACAACTTGATTTAGTGGTATCTTCATTGATTGAATCCACTGCGATTACTCCAACGTCTTTGCAATGGGCTGAGAGTAGAAGGGATGCCATCAAAGCTTTAACTTCTATAGCAGTTGTATCAGAAGGAGGTGAGAAAACATTTTAAATTTGAAAATATTCACACCAAATATATCTATTAGATCTGCTGTCGTGATTACGTCAAAGACAAACATATTTACCATGTACCATATTTATATACAGGGCGTTTCTTTTATCATGTGGTAACATTGCTATATTCTAAACCATAACAGATACGAAGACAATTAAATGGAAAAATTAGGTAACTGTTATCGGAAAAAATACAATGGTTTAAGAAAATTTACGGGGACTTTCGCTCTTCTCGAGTTATACGGAGAAAACCAAAAATGCTGTTTTTCTTTTTTTTTTTTGAATGGAATTGTTATTTCGGAGAATATAAAAAATGGATTATTTAGGTGTTTTGAATTTAAAAATGAAAATAAGTGTCTGGTATAACAAATAATATTTAATTGTTAACCATCCTAAGCTGTCCAACATGATTTTTAAAGGAGTGCGTCTGCTACATGACAAAATGATACCCATTGATTGGTTTTGTAGTTTTTGGAACCTGTTGATTTGGTTTTGGTTCAGTAGGTATAAAATAGTGGAGCAATAGTTTAAATGGGGAAGTATAATACTAGAGTATATCGCAGTTTTTGTCCATGCATTAAGCATTATGGTATCTTGAACATCTGAATAAAAATTTACTTTAAAAGAAATAGTTTTTAATATATAGTTTGCATATTTTTTAAACGTTGGTTCATTGTCGTCTATAATACCCAAGTATTTGTTTTTTTTTACTTGTTGGATTGAGTTCCCGCACAGTTTGACTACCAAATTCTGGCTTGGTAGTGTTTTAATCTGGTTTTCTCTTGCAATCACATTTTGTTTTATTTTAATTAACGGAAAAACAGATTTTAAAACAGATTTAAACAGATTTATTTTAAGTAAATTACTGCAACACCATTTATGAATACAATTTATTGTAGAGTTTATCGTTTCCGTCAAAATTCCATGATGAAAAATAGATGAGGGTGTCATCTGCAAATAAATGGATTTCAGACATTCCAGTTTCTCCTACTATGTCATCTATATAAATCAGGAAGGATAAAGGGCCGATAATACTACCTTGTGGCGCCCCAAATCCATTTTCTATTTCCTCGGTTTTTTTGTTATTCAGAAGGAATTTTTGTTTTCTATTATATAGATAATTTGCAAACCATTTCAACGCTTTAGGTACAATGCCGATACTTTCCATCTTCAGCACTAATTTATTTCTATCTACCTTTTCAAGAGCCCTCTGTAGATCAAGGAATACTGCACCTACTAGTTTGTATAATTCTATACTTTTTTTCCAATCATCTAAAACACATTGAAATGCTGTTTTACAACTATGCTTGCTTCGGAAACCAGATTGAACACTATTAATCATGTTGTTATCTTCAATATATCTTACCAATTGGTCGAACTCTACCTTTTCTAGAATGTTTTCAGTTGAGCTTAGCATATTTATTGGTCTTGACCAGAAGCTTTATTTGAATTAGATACCTTTGGCAGTGGAATTATGGTTCCTATTTTCAATTCTTTTGGAAACATACTAGATTGAGCAACGGTTCTGCAATATTATCAAAACAATATTTCATGAACAATATATTTATGTCATCAGTTCTACTTTTATTGGGCATTGAAAAAATAATATTTTTCAACTCCATGTAGTCAACCATCCTAAAATTATCCAGAAGGGGAAAAATTTGAGACAAATGTTTAGAAATATCGAAGCTTCTAAGGAAGCAGATGCCAGAAGTTTAACTTTATATCAAAACAGTTTAAAAGAACATAAAAAAAACTTGAAAGAGGCTAAAATCAATTACTTCAACAACAAAATTCTGAATGCAGACAATAAGACCAAAACAACATGGAACATTATAAATAATGAACTAGGAAGGAAGAGTAGATCATCGAACAAAATTATCAGTATTTTAAAAAATGATCAAGAAATTACAGACCTAAATGAAATAACAGAATTGTTTGCTTACAATTTCTCAAATGCTGCCAAATTTGCAACTGAAAAAAACTTTGGTCAAAATATGTCACTGCCTTGTACAGTCTCAAGGAATCACCATATAATTCATCCTTTCCAAAATGATCCTATAAGCGAATCTGAGGTGCTAAGCACACTAAAAATATTAAAAAATAAAAAGTCTACTGGATTGGATGAGTTGTCAATAGAAACAATAAAAAAAATAATCGATGTGGTGATTACCCCTTTGACTTATTTATTTAATCAGTCTTTTTTGCAAGGATACTTTCCCGAAGAATTCAAAAAGGCATTAGTAATACCTCTTTTCAAAAAAGGCGATCGCTCGGTAGTAGAAAATTATAGGCAAATCTCTTTGCTCTGCTCACTGTCTAAATTATTTGAAAAAATAGTCACAAATAGGATTACGCATTATTTGGCAGAAAATAATATACTGTGCAAAAATCAACATGGATTCAGAAAGAGTAAATCAATTGAAATTGCAACATATCGCTAACTGAATTATATCTACAAAGAAGTGGATTCGAATAATTTTGTAATGTCTTTATTTTTTGATCTAACAAAAGCGTTTGACACAGTGTCTCCTGAATTTCTAGTTGCAAAACTGACCCAACTTAGGTTTCCGAATAACTTGTTACAATGGATTGAATCTTACCTCAAAGGGCGTACCATGACTGTAAAATGTGAAAATGTTAGATCAAGGTGCAACGACGTTAAGCTTGGAGTGCCACAGGGGTCAGTGCTTGGACCATTGCTTTTTTTGTTGTATGCAAATGATTTGTCAGAATATCTGAAAGATTGCCACCTTACCATGTTTGCGGATGATACCACTATCACAGTTACAGGGGGAAATATTGATGTACTGCTTAGTAAGGTAAAATGCATAATCGATAGTTTTAGCTCCTGGTGTCAGCGAAACAGATTAATATTAAACTCCACAAAAACTGTAATAGTAAATTTCTATAATAGGAAAAATNAAATAAATAAATAAATTCTTCCAATTGAAAAAATTGATAACTGTTTCATGTGTACAGCTATTTAATTAAATAATTTAGATTATTTAGAACAACATCATGTGATACTAATATGTTGGAGTATTTTATAGATATGGACAATGAAAATATTGGTAAAATATACCACACATTTTTGGAAGGTTTGAAAGATTATACACAAGACAAAAGAGGTGATATCGGAGCGTGGGTTAGAGAAGCTTGTATATCTGGTCTACAAATCATGACTTGTTTGGTGGAAAAATTTTCAGTTGGATTTTTGACACCCAATTTATTGAATCAAATTCTATCAGGTATTGCACAACAAGCTGTAGAAAAAATTGATAGGACTAGAGCACTTGCTGGAAGAGTATTTTATAGTCTTATCTACAGGTGAGTGTAAAACATTTGTTATAATGTTGTTATTTTTGATGTTCTGTTCTGGATCTAGAGCAGTGAATCCAACTAGAAGCACCGTTGAATCTCAACACAACATAAAATTATCATTTTATTTATTTATTTATGTATACGGATAATCCCCATGGGGAAAAAGCAATATAAAAATACAGTATTACCTTAAAACTAAGTTAACCCTAAAGTATACATAAATATAGACAAGTATCAATGTAAATATATAAAATTTAAATAATATAAACTTAACTGGTTAACTGATGAATTTTATTGCTACACTGTTTTTTAAAAGTATTCAGTAAAATTCCTGTAATGTCACAATAAAGATGGTTGTCTTCTAGCATAAACCTTGACATGGGTGAGAAGTATCTATAGTATCCATTATGAAAAAGTTGTACCATGGAGAGATTATTGGGAGAAAAGCTTTTTGTCTTTCTACTTTTCCATTATTGAACAAAAAACGTGGAAAACTCCATACTCTGCATAACTCCATACAGTTTAAACGTAACCTCTCTTTGGCTAGTTTAACCCCTGTAAGGTATTGTACTCGTATACAACATATATTAACTCAGATGCCTTTGCTGTACCTAACAAAATATTGAGGTGCTTTGAACAATTGATGCCGCTCTGTAGGACTCGAATCATCATAAAATTTGGAACAACTCGCCTTCGCAAGAGGTTACCCCAGTAAATAACTTTCTATCTGCACAAACTCCTAGAAACTATAACACAGTTGCTGCTACAAGTATGCTTGCCATTCTGATCTTACTACTCCTTTCGAGTAGTGAAGTGGATTGAGGATGAGCTCAACGTGAAAATTTGAAAATTGACGCCTGTCCATAGAAGCTTGCATACCAAACCTTCCTTTCCACAGCTATACTTTCCCCGACAACAAGTTGGTCATGAACTTTTAAGCCTGGAAAGAGAAAAAATTGGAGCAACTCTTTTTGTACACTGAATGAGGTGATCACAACTCTGTCACATATTTGGAACTTCTTATATACACAAAATGGTTTAGACTTTCACGGCTGAAGTTTTCAGTGTCATTGCTTTTCGAGTTTGAAAGCCTTGGAGTTTTGGAATTTCTTCCTGACGTTTCGCTGGCGCGAGTGGCTAGCTTCTTCAGAGGTTTAACCATCATGGCTTGCTGTCCGATGACTACCTTTTAGGCTTTGTAAAGCGTATTTATGCCTTGTCAAGTAATCAGTTGTATTTGTACCTGTATTTGTACCTGCATTTGTACCTGTATTCGTACCTGCACTTGAACCTGGAACATTGTTCCTGTTCGTTATTCTCGAATTCCTTAAAATGGGGTTCCATATTTGATTGAGGTTCACCGCTTCTTCTTTTCAGTTAAAATTATCCGTGTGTTTGTGGATCTCTATTGCCTCCCGTACCAGTCGGCTATGGTATCCCTGGTTGGGGACAATTAGTTCTATGTTTTCGAACAAAATTCTGTGGTCTCCTTCACTCAGTGCATGTTCTGCCACAGCTGACTTGTCTGTTTGGCCTAGTCTGCAGTTCCTTTTATGTTCTTTTAGTCTTGTTCCCATGGATCGTTTGGTGGTTCCGATATATACCTTTCTACAAGTGCACGAAATGCGATAGACCCCTGCTGCTGATAATGGGTCTCTTTTGTCTTTAGCCGACCTGAGGCTTTGTTGTATGTCTTGTATGTCTTATATATATCTGATTTTTTTTCTCAGATCGAGTGGTTTGGAGACAGAGAATGAGAAGTCATACGTATAATACTGATTTATTATTAAATCGTTTCTCAAATCAGAATAGTCATTTTCCATTAGATTTACTGCTCCTTACCTTAAAATCAACTCAAGTTTCACCTATTCATCATAGATAAATAATGTAAAGCTGTGAATTGAAAAAATATAAGACACAAAAGCCTTATTCGTGAAGAATATATTCCAGAGATCTTACACCTTTCTATTCAATCAATATACACGTTCTGATTCTGGAACAGTTTGAAGTTTCCAACAAATGAATTCATTTAGATATTTTTTTTAACAGTAAGTACTAAATGAGCTCATGCAGTAATAGTACAAAAATCAGAACGACTAAGCTTAAATAGATAACTTGAATAGAACCACAGGATAAATATATTTTTTTTCGCAGATTATTTTTAATTCTTGTTTTATTAATATACTGATTGAAATAATGAACTTGAAATTTTTTCACAAACATTATTTGATATATGTCTTCTTGAATTGACTTGTTCAATTTAAATTTCAGTAACACTATGATAAAAAGCTTCACCTACTATAGTGATTTATGTCGTATATTCCCAAAAGAAGAATGCGAAGAAATGAATTGGAATTCTGCTTCTGTTACATTTCCGAAATTTGTGCAACTTATTCAACTACCACCTTTCACATACAACATTATACTTGGACTCGTTTGCAGTGTTGGAGGCATGACTGAGACATTGGTAGAGTATGATAATTCTCGAAAAAAATAACTGAAACATCTCGCATAAACTAAAGTAGTACTCTTCCCATACACTGGATCTGTAACACTATAACCGTTTCACCAACCAAGTTGATGTCAACAGTAGATGAACTATCCTAAAATAGTAGTAGTAGTAGTAGTAAGTATAGTTCACCTCCAGATGATGTTAATTTGGTCGGTAAAATCCGCGTCAAGAAGAATGTTATTGTTCTTATGTTTGGGAAAAGTACTAGTGTTGAATCTATTATAATTTTTAATAATTCCCAATTTTTCATTTTTCAATTTTTCAATTGGTTTAACAAACATTAATATTTCTTCTCCAAATGATTCTGTTTGTAAACACTATATATTATAATGATCATTTTATAAATTTTATAGAATGAGGTATGCTGATTCACCATACAGAAACAATTTTTTAAAGTAGACAACATATGAATATTGTGCGATTTAGAAGTAGTAGTAGTATTATATTTATTTAGGTTACCCTAATGTACAAACGTTCATTAAAAATATAATACATAAGTGAGTGTAAGTACAAAGTAATAATAAATTAATGAATAAAAAATAATATAGTTATTTTAAAAAGTCAATATGATAACATCAATGATTTATAAACATTGAATTCTTCTAGCATAAACCTTGACATGGGTGAGAAGTATCTATAGTATCCATTATGAAAAAGTTGTACCATGGAGAGATTATTGGGAGAAAAGCTTTTTGTCTTTCTACTTTTCCATTATTGAACAAAAAACGTGGAAAACTCCATACTCTGCATAACTCCATACAGTTTAAACGTAACCTCTCTTTGGCTAGTTTAACCCCTGTAAGGTATTGTACTCGTATACAACATATATTAACTCAGATGCCTTTGCTGTACCTAACAAAATATTGAGGTGCTTTGAACAATTGATGCCGCTCTGTAGGACTCGAATCATCATAAAATTTGGAACAACTCGCCTTCGCAAGAGGTTACCCCAGTAAATAACTTTCTATCTGCACAAACTCCTAGAAACTATAACACAGTTGCTGCTACAAGTATGCTTGCCATTCTGATCTTACTACTCCTTTCGAGTAGTGAAGTGGATTGAGGATGAGCTCAACGTGAAAATTTGAAAATTGACGCCTGTCCATAGAAGCTTGCATACCAAACCTTCCTTTCCACAGCTATACTTTCCCCGACAACAAGTTGGTCATGAACTTTTAAGCCTGGAAAGAGAAAAAATTGGAGCAACTCTTTTTGTACACTGAATGAGGTGATCACAACTCTGTCACATATTTGGAACTTCTTATATACACAAAATGGTTTAGACTTTCACGGCTGAAGTTTTCAGTGTCATTGCTTTTCGAGTTTGAAAGCCTTGGAGTTTTGGAATTTCTTCCTGACGTTTCGCTGGCGCGAGTGGCTAGCTTCTTCAGAGGTTTAACCATCATGGCTTGCTGTCCGATGACTACCTTTTAGGCTTTGTAAAGCGTATTTATGCCTTGTCAAGTAATCAGTTGTATTTGTACCTGTATTTGTACCTGCATTTGTACCTGTATTCGTACCTGCACTTGAACCTGGAACATTGTTCCTGTTCGTTATTCTCGAATTCCTTAAAATGGGGTTCCATATTTGATTGAGGTTCACCGCTTCTTCTTTTCAGTTAAAATTATCCGTGTGTTTGTGGATCTCTATTGCCTCCCGTACCAGTCGGCTATGGTATCCCTGGTTGGGGACAATTAGTTCTATGTTTTCGAACAAAATTCTGTGGTCTCCTTCACTCAGTGCATGTTCTGCCACAGCTGACTTGTCTGTTTGGCCTAGTCTGCAGTTCCTTTTATGTTCTTTTAGTCTTGTTCCCATGGATCGTTTGGTGGTTCCGATATATACCTTTCTACAAGTGCACGAAATGCGATAGACCCCTGCTGCTGATAATGGGTCTCTTTTGTCTTTAGCCGACCTGAGGCTTTGTTGTATGTCTTGTATGTCTTATATATATCTGATTTTTTTTCTCAGATCGAGTGGTTTGGAGACAGAGAATGAGAAGTCATACGTATAATACTGATTTATTATTAAATCGTTTCTCAAATCAGAATAGTCATTTTCCATTAGATTTACTGCTCCTTACCTTAAAATCAACTCAAGTTTCACCTATTCATCATAGATAAATAATGTAAAGCTGTGAATTGAAAAAATATAAGACACAAAAGCCTTATTCGTGAAGAATATATTCCAGAGATCTTACACCTTTCTATTCAATCAATATACACGTTCTGATTCTGGAACAGTTTGAAGTTTCCAACAAATGAATTCATTTAGATATTTTTTTTAACATTAAGTACTAAATGAGCTCATGCAGTAATAGTACAAAAATCAGAACGACTAAGCTTAAATAGATAACTTGAATAGAACCACAGGATAAATATATTTTTTTTCGCAGATTATTTTTAATTCTTGTTTTATTAATATACTGATTGAAATAATGAACTTGAAATTTTTTCACAAACATTATTTGATATATGTCTTCTTG